GTAACTTTCGTGGGGTCTTGTTTGTGGATATTTGGTAAATACCCAAGAGTGGGATTGCTGCTGGGTCATAGTGGAGCTCAATGTTTATTCTCTTGAGGAAACTCCATCCTGCTTTCTAGAGTAGTTGAACAAGTTTACATTCCCACCAACAATGTAGTAGTGTTCCCTTTTGTCCACATGCCAGCTAGCATCTGTTATTATTTTAGATATGAGGTCCTTGTCTGTTGTATAGCTAGTAAGATCAGATACCCTAAAAATCTCACAGGAAGGGTTGGGGGAAGTATACATCTCCTTGGCACAGGTTGAAACTTCTTAAGATCCAGAAATAAAACAAATTAAAGATTGAATAATTGGGATTGCATTAAACGCAGAGTTTCTGCATGGAAAATGACATAAATAGCAAAATAACTAGATAGCCCATGCACTGGAAGAAGATATTATTATTATTATTATTATTGTGTGGGTTGTGGGGCCTGAAATCCAGGTCTGGGCATTGTCCCTCAGCTCTTCAGCTCAAGGAAAGTGCTTTACTGCTTGAGCCACAGTGCCACATCCAGGTTTTCTTTTTTCTGGTGGTTTATTGGAGATGAGAGTCTCAGGGACTTGCCTTCCTGGGCTGGCTTTGAGCCTCAATCCTCAGGTCTCAGCCTCCTGAGTAGCTAGGATTACAGGCGTGAGCTACTGGAACCCAGCTTGGGAGAAGATCTTTAATAGAAGATCTTTATAGACAAGAGTCTCAGATGCCCATTTTTACCTGCTGTTCTCTGCACTGACTGTTCAGGTATCTTCTCTCATCCTAACTCAGAGACTTGAGCTGGTATAGAGCACTTGGGTTTCTGTTTTAGCTCATTTGACATCCCTTATTCATGTTTGATCTGGCCTATTTTAAGCACAGCTACTTATAATTGAAGGACATAATGTCTCAGCATTTGCTTTATTATCACCATCCATTGCTGACAGTTCCATTAGAAGTGTGGTGGGTTTTTTTTTTCTCTCCTAGTTTATTTCTTTTACATCTTTCTACATTTAAAACATACATTGAAAAAACACTTAACAATACATGAAATGATAGTTCTGCAAAGTCATCTGCTGGTGGGTGCTCTCGGTTCCCTGGATGTAAAGTTTACTTTGTAAGCAGACAACTGTGAGCCAATATACAGGTTTAGTTAGCTTCACTGTAGTTTACATCACTGTCTAATGACCTCTGTTGCTGCACTTTTTCATTTTGTTTCCCTGGAGTTCAATAGCTTTCCCAACCCTCCACAAGATATACATATGAGTGCACCACACATATGTAAAAGCATTTGTTTTTAGTTAAAAGGTGAAGTAAGAAAGTGACTGCCTTTAATATTTCATAAGTTGCAGTGTTAGCATACATTTCTTCCAGAGCTGTTCTAATTTCCCTGTGTATATTTCACTGATTATTAGACATATATTATTTAAGTGTAATGTGTTTATGACTTATAGTTTTATATATTGATTTCCAGAAAATGTTTCTTGAGATTTGCTCTCAGTGTTTCAATCCTGGTAAATGCAACACCACAAAATAGCATTTAGGTTCAAATAATGCCATCGATGTGTGTGTTCCTGCAGACTTTTTGTCTGTTTTTTTCCTGTCAGTTAGCAGGAGTAGTATTACTTTCTCAAGAGAAATGATAGTTTAACATAATTATAATTCTATAGTTTTTTTGGGAGGGGGAGGGAGTCTTTGGGCTTGAACTCAGGGCCTCTACACTGTCCCTGAGCTTCTTTTGCTCAAGTATAGCACTCTAACACTTGAGCCACAGTGCTATTTCCAGGTTTGTTTGTTTTTTGTTTAGGTGGTACTGAAGAATCAAAACCAGGGCTTCATGCATGCCAAGCAAGCAACTCTACTCATAAGCCACATTCCAAGCCCTATATCTATTGCCCTTTTAAATTTTTTTGGTAGAATTAATTCAACTCAGGCCTTCATATTTGCCAAGCAAGTAAAATATTAATTGATCCATATGCTCGGTCCATATATTTTTAATACAATTGTGTTTATATATGATATTTTATGCATTATGACTCATAAATATGGTGCTATAAGTTTTTCTTTCGTAAATCATTTTAGAGAGTATACAAAGTATATGTTCTATACATTTTTTACTTACCTACATATTTACCATTTTAATAACCTTGTCCTGTGTGTATATCTATCTTAGTGGGAGAGCCCAAAAATTCAAGCTGTGGGACCCTGAAAAGATTGGGAGTTTGGAATGCTTTCTCCCAGTACACTCTTGCAACACTGTGAGTTTCCTAGAAAGATCAATCAGTCCTGGCTTAAGAGAACACAGATTCCACACTAAACTGTATGGGAGGCTATGGGTAGACTTAGGTTTATGCAAATTGTAGGCTATTTACTGTTTAGCCCTCTTTCTCAGAATAAGAATGTCACATGTTGAAATTTATACCTTACTTCCTTGCACAAGCCCAATAAAAATTTTGGTTAATGGAACCTTGGGATCTGTTGTAGAAGGCTGCAGAAGGCTACAGGTTCCTTGGTACCCCAAACCTCAGGGTCTGGTCTCCATTATTGTGTTGCTCCTGGTCCCAGTTGACTAAGGAGCAGAAGGTGAGTTGCAATAATTGGCATCTTTTTGTTATTTTCTTGAAGTATAATTTCTTGAACACTCTTAAAATGCAAATGTGTTATTAATGATTTATCTTTCTCTGAAAATATATTCAATCTACATTTTTAGAAGAGTTGCTTTGCCTAATGGGTTGTGAATTGAAAGTTATTTTCTTTCAAAACTTTACAGATATATTTCCTTTTGGTGTTTTACTCAGCATTCACTTCTGGTATTGTCAAACATGGCTGGATTGGATAGTATTGTTGGCCATTCTTCATCTGTAATGGGGTTCAAAATGGGAGTAAAAATGTCCCTTTTTAGCCTCTGCACAACAAATTAGTACTATATTTCAGTCTAACATAAAATTTCCTTCTATATTTTTAGATCACATCCCCCTTTATAGTTTTTTTTCTCTATCCTGCTTGAGGTAGTCATATTTCACATGTTTTGTTATCATAAATGTTACTTAAGCCTTTATCCATTTGCCTCCATCCTTCCATGAAGGCCTATTAAAATCCGGTCAAGAAATATTTTATTCCTCTACCCACCCATATTGTGTATAGTAGGATGTAAGCAGTGTTCACAAAAGTTTATGCTAGCAGTTCCTTTTTACATAGGAAGAGAGTATCAGTGTTTCTATGACCACAATCTCCAGAAATTTAATAACAAAAATGGTTAACAAGGATATTTTTATGTGGAAAATAAGTCAAATCATATAAGAGCCAGTACTCCTTTCTTGAGTACTGTTACTTACTTTAATATTCACCTGGTCACTGTGCTTTTTGTAGATCTACTAATGTGGTATGTATTTCATATGATGTCCTGAATATGTTCTAATCGCTGTGAGAGCACTTTTTTTTTGCGGGGGGGGGGGGAGAATCCAGTCGTGGGGCTTGAACTCTGGGCCTGGGCGCTGTCCTTCAGCTCTTCAGCTCAAGGCTAGCACTCTACTACTTGAGCCACAGCGCCACTTCTGGCTTTTTTTTTCTGCTTATGTGGTGCTGAGGAATTGAACCCAGGGCCTCATGCACACAAGGCAAGTGCTCTACCACTGAGCCACCTTCCCAGCCCCGTGAAAGCACTTTTTAATAGAAGATCTAAATAGGATTTTCAGTGAAGCTCAAGATGAAAATGCAGGAAAAATTATTCATTGTTACCCTGATATATAGTAAATTTTATCAAAATAAGCTAAACATACTCTTTCAGACACCTACTTAGTCTTACTGATGTCATGCCAGATTGCAAGTGCTTTAGAATTGTTATATTATCTCTATTGCTAGCACCAGAAATATATACTGATGTATTAGGGAAACTTTGTATTAGTAATTACCAAGTTAGTATAGTGGCAATTATTTCTACTTTGATTTTTCTTTCTTTCACTGAGTAGACAACATTGCAAGCTCCAAATATTTTATGTAAGAGAAGAGCATCCATGTAAAAGAATGAAATTCCAGAATTGGTGCCCTTATAACTTCTGACTAATTACTTAATTACTTGATGGAAAAGTACCATTACAGAAGCTGGTGTCATTTGATGATGTGGCTGTGGACATCAGCTGGAAGGAGTGGCAGGAACTGGATATTTCTCAGAGGATCCTATATAGAGATGTAATGCTAGAGACCTACAGCAATCTGGTGTCCTTGAGTGAGCAACACTTAAATTAGCTACCAAGGTCAAGTGCTTGTTTTTTGTAAATATATGAGTATGTTATTAAGTTGTAAGATTCCAGTCCATGTGAAGTATCACTTCTTTCTAAGAAAAACTTTGATTTAATTATGTAACTCCTGAGGCAGTTTTATTCTTATTCTTCAAGAGGCCAAAACAGCAGTTTGAGAAAAGTTCTAAACTATGTTCCAGTAACAGGAGACTGTCTTCCCAAACTTGAGGTGATTGTTGCAGGTGGATATACAATCTAGAATAGAAATCTTATCACTATTGGAAGTATGATGTGGAATCCACTAATTTAAAATGTGCATTATAAACCAAGCCTGGCACTGGGTGCAATGGTTTATGCCTGTAATCCTAGCTACTCAAGAGAGTGAAATCTGAAGATTTTGGATTAAGGATAGCAAAGGCAAAAAAAAGTGCCCATGAGGATTTTATTTCCACTTACCACTCAGAAACTGGACATGGAGCTGGGACTCAAAACTGTTAGAATGATAGCTTTGAGCAAGAGTTGAGTTCAAGCCACACAACTGGCAAAATAATTCCAAACTTGGGGGAAAGGCAACCATGGAGCCAATGAAAAATGAGAAACAAGATTTAGTAGCAACCTTGTGAATAGGATGTCTGAGACTTTTTAAGAATGATGACCCAGCACAAGCAAAATTTTCCATATTTCTTATTTACAGGGCACTATGTTCCTCAACCTAAATTGATCATCAGCCTGAAGCAAGGTGCAGAATCATGGATAGGAGAAGCTTCAGACAAGAATTTCACAGGTGAGTTAAAGTATCTTTCATAGTGATATTGGAGCCAGTTTGTAAATTCATCTTTCACTGTACAGAGCAATAATGTTCCTAGTTCCACTGAGTCCAGTGTGGCAGAGAACTAGGTGATCCTTTGTCTCAAAGACTTGTGAATCAAGAATTCATGTGGGGATAAAATGAATTCAGTGTGGTAGTAGATTAAGGTTTGGAATTGAAAGGGAAAAAGAAATTTAGAAACATAGGAAATGACATTTCATTTTCTTTGAAACTAGGACTATGCACGTATGATGCACGTATGCTAGGGCTGCTATCCTCCAATAAGAAAAATGGCTTATCAGTGGTGGTGGGCAAAGACTCAGATTCAGAACCAAAGCTTCTTGTCTAGATAGGATGATTATCTGGGTGTTAAACTGGAGTATCATTGGTCTTCCATGGTTCTGAGCAGTAGGAGTGTCAGAAAAGAAATTTGGATGAGACTTTTTGTAAGAGGGAGAGAAACAAATTTTAAAAATTCCCTCAAATACCTTAAGTAATTCTTAGTGAAAAGTTAGAACTGCACAGATGTAGCTATAAAACCGTACTCTCAAGAACCATTCCTGCTTAGATAAAAGGCAAAGGGATGTATAAAACACTCTTATTGGGCTGGGAGGTGGCTCAGTGGTAGAGCACTTGCCTTGCATGCATGAGGCCCTGGGTTCAATTCCTCAGCACCACATAAGCAGAAAAAAAAAAGCCAGAAGTGGTGCTATGGCTCAAGTGGTAGCACACTAGCCTTGAGCTGAAGAGCTGAGGGACAGAGCCCAGGCCCAGAGTTCAGGCCCCACGACTGGACTCAAAAACAAAACAACAACAACAAAAAACACTTTTATGGTCTCCAAAAATAGAAAATATTTCTGTACTTCACCTAATTGTTGAGAAGCAAAACAGCACAATATATAAATTATTTCTAGAAAATAAAAGAAAACCAAGCAGGTATTATGACCAAACAAAATAATATTTGAGAAAAACAACTTAAAGTCTACTAAAGGCAGATAATTAGTTCTCAGTATAAAACTCTCACAATTGAGAGTTTGAGTATTTCTTCTCACATAAAAAAAGAAAAGTCTAAAACAGAAAAACATTTTCTATTGTAAAATATTAGTATTGCTGTCTTAATATATTGGGAAAAAAGCATGTGTCTCTAATCTCTTAACATTTAGAATTGGAGAAAATGTCTTTACGTTTACATTAAGAAGTCTTTGGGGGGCTGGGAAGGTGGCTCAGTGGTAGAGCACTTGCCTTGCATGCATGAGGCCCTGGGTTCGATTCCTCAGCACCACATAAGCAAAAAGCCGGAAGTGGCACTGTAGCTCAAGTGGTAGAGCGCTAGCCTTGAGCTGAAGAGCTGAGGGACAGCGCCCAGGCCCAGAGTTCAGGCCCCATGACTGCCCCCCCCCAAAAAAAAGGAAGTCTTTGGATTTCATTTATATTTTTGTCTTTTTCTCTGATTCACTTTAAGTGTCCAAGAAATGGAGGATATGATTAAGACCTGCCAGGTAAGTCCAGATGAATGTCTGTGTGAAGTAGCAGTCACAAATAGTAACAGTGGAGGAAAATGTGAGATTAGTAACAACTGCTATTATGAGCTCAAAACATAAGCCAGAGCTGATTAGAATTAATGGGAACTCCTTAGAGATGAGGATTCAGGAGTTTATTGTGTGCCAGAACATGCTTCTCTGTAGTGAGCCTGATAAGATGCATGCTGCATATAGGCTTGGTGTGTCTCCTGTAATTGAAGAATCCTTCAGATTTTCTGAGCATTTAACTGTATTTGTGTGTGTGTGTGTGTGTGTGTGTGTGTGTCTTTCCTTTCTTGGTACTGGTGCTCGAACCCAGGACGTTACACTTGCTAGGCTAGTGCTTTACCACTGAGCTACATCCCAGCCCCTTTTCTGAGCATTTTAGTCAAAATGTTGAGAGTCCACATAAGCTGCAATATTTGGAAAATGGTAGAGAAGGAAGGGGTTAAACTTGGAGACCATATTTTTCATACACAATTGGGTTTTTGTGGGACAGCCCTCCTATAACCATTTGAATATAGAGAAGACTGAGATATAACTGCTTTCCTTTCTCCAGAAATACTTCATGGTGGAAGGAAAACACCTGAATGGACTGCATGTGGAAAAGCATTCTACTTAAGACCTACAGTTGCTATATATAAGGCAGAAAATATACAAGGCAGAGAATCCTTGTACAAGTAGTAAATATAAGAAATCTTTGAATAAAAAAATACACCTCACAAACCCTGAGAGCAAATAGCCAGAGGCTAAGTCCAATAAGAATATCCATTATGTAAAATCTATCTCTGAGAAGTCAGACCTGAGTTGCAAACTGAAAACACCTCCAGAAGAGAAATCCTATGAATATGAGGAATGTAGCACCTTTTCCACCCAGAGGTCGGCTCTCAGCAGGCAAAAGAGAACTCACACAGAAGTGAAACCTTATGAATGTAACAGATGTGGAAAGACCTTCAAGTGGGCATCACACCTCCATAGGCATAACAGACTTCACACAAGTGAGAAACCTTATGAATGTAATGAATGTGGAAAGTCTTTCACCCAGAAGACAAACCTTAATGTCCACCAGAGAACACACACAGGAGAGAAACCTTATGAATATAAGAAATGTGAAAAATCCTTCACCCAGAAGTCACATCGCAATACACATAGAAGAATTCAAACAGGTGAGAAACCTTATAAATGTAACAAATGTGGAAAGTCTTTCAGACGTGAGTCATACCTCACTGTGCATCAGATAACACACATAGAAGAAAATCCTTATTCTTGCAACAAATGTGGAAAGACCTTCAAGTGGTGGTCATACCTTGGCAGGCATAACAGAATTCACACAGGTGAAAAACTTTACAAATGTAACAAATGTGTGAAAGTCTTTCAACAAAAAGACGCACTTTACTGTTCATCAGAGAAAACACACAGGAGAGAAACCTTATGATTGTAACGAATGTGGAATGTCTTTCACCAAAAAGGCAGAACTTACTGTTCATCAGAAAACACACACAGGAAAGAAACTTCATGAATGTAAGAAATGTAAAAAGTCTTTCACCTGGAAGTCACATCTCAATACACATATAAGATTTCACACAGGTGAGAAACCTTATGAATGTAACAAATGTGGAAAGTCTTTCACACAGAAGTCATACCTCACTTTTCATCAGAGAACACACACAGGAGAGAAACCTTATGAATGCAACAAATGTGGAAAGACTTATTTGTAGGTCACAACTCGGCAAGCATAACAATTCACACAGGTGAGAAACCTTATGAATGGAAAAAATGTGGAAAGTGCTTCAACCAGAGTTCACACCTCAGCACACATAAGAGAATCCATACTCATGAGAAACTTTAGGAGTGTAATGAATTTGGGAAGTCTTTCATCTGGAAGAAAACTCCACACAGATTAAAAGACTTATGAATGTTGCATATGTGCAGTTTTTCACCCAGAAGGCATAGCTTGAGGAACATCATTGAATACTCACAGGACAGAAATTTCATGAATGAAAAAAATGTGGAAAGATTTTCAAGAAGTCACATCTCAGTTTGCATCAGAAAACACACAGGAGAGAAGCCATATAAATGTAACAAATGTGGAAATTATTTTACCTGGAAGTCATACTTCAATTTTCATCAAAGAACTGGCTCACATAGGAGTAAGAAAATCAACAAATATGACAAATGTGCAATGACTTCTTTTTTTTTTTGCCAGTCCTATGGCTGGAACTCAGGGCCTGGGCACTGTCCCTGGGCTTAATTTGCTCAAGGCTAGCACTCTACCACTTGAGCCACAGCACCACTGCTGGCTTTTTCTGTTTATGTGGTACTGAGGAAATCAAACCCAGGGCTTCGTGCATGCTAGGTAGGCACTCTACCACTAGGCCACATCTCCAGCCCCTAAGATGCCTTATTTATTTTTGTCAGTTGTGGGGCTTGACCTCTGGGCCTAGCTAGGAGCTGTCCCTTAGCTCTTCTGCTCAAGGCTAGCACTGTACCACTTGAACCACAGCACCACTTCCTATTTTTTTCTTTATTAAACATATTAAATTTTATTTCAATAACTAGTTTCATTTTTTCAGTAAGAGCTTTGGATAATTACTTTTTATCAGAGGTCAGAACACAATATAAGCTATCAAATACTGCAGTGACTAAAATTACTTGGGTATGCATTTAGAAAAGCCATGTTTAATAGACAAAAATTCTAGTATTATTGCTTAATAAGTATGACTTAACTCCTTGGGAACTCTTCAAAATAACCAGAATTTTTAGTTTGCACCAACTTGTTTACCACAAACGTGTTGAAACTTGTGATATCAGTACATGAGTCAAAAACTTAATAAAACCGAGTGCTATACATAAGTTAGCAGATTATCTTATGACATTTTAGCTTTACCACAGCTCTAGTTAGCATTTAAAAAAAACACAAAACGAACACTAAAATTGTAGTATTTGGCATTTTTGGTACAAGCTTTAAAAAAGTGTTACTCGGGGCTGGGAAGGTGGCTCAGTGGTAGAGCGCTTGCCTTGCATGCATGAGGCCCTGGGTTCGATTCCTCAGCAACACATAAGCAAAAAGAAAAAAAAAGCCGCAAGTGGTGCTGTGGCTCAAGTGGTAGAGCCCTAGCCTTGAGCTGAAGAGCTGAGGGACAGCGCCCAGGCCCAGAGTTCAGGCCACACTACCGGACCCAAAAAAAAAAAAAAAAAAAAAGTATTACTCAACACCTCATCTAAGAAAATGGTGGTGTTCAAAAATACAAAAACTGTTACATCCAGTAGATATTTTACAGTCAAAATAATAAATCTTTTGGAAAAAATGCATAATATCTTCATAACTACCAGTTGTCTCAAAGACTAACAGAAAAATGCAGAAAAATAGATGTTCCCATTCATATCATTTTGCTCTGAAAAATCAGAAATTATTCAATTCGTTAGCAAAAATGATTTAAAAAATATGATTAATACACTGTATGTCTTGAAGCCAAAACAAACTTTACCTCAAAGAGCAATTTTGACTTGTACATTCCTAGTATCCTTGGTCTAGAAGAAGGCCCAATTTTAAGCCATTATTTAAATGGAGTGCATATGTAAATTCATCATTCTCCACAGGATGTTTGACTTCATTATATCACCTGCAAAATGGCAAATCATTAAGTCATTGATAAAGAATCTGTACTGCAAGTATTCCTTTTCTGAAATGCTTGGGACCAGAAGTGTTTTAGTTCAACATCATATTCATTGCCATTTCACATAGCCTAAAGGCAATTCCATACAATATTTTTAGGGTGTCTGTGTTTTGAATAAAACCCATTACAAGGTCAGGTCAAGTGCAGAATTTTCATTTGTAAATCATGTCTACACAAAAGTTTCAGATTTTGGAATATTTATGATTTTGTATTTTCAGATTAATACAATGTACTTATAATGTCAATAGATGCCAACAAACTTTCACACACAAAACTAAACATGAATATTGAGATCAGAACATGAATCTTCTATATAATCAGATTTAATTTACTAAATAATCCTATGATGAAATCAAAACAATGAGCCCAAAGCTGCATAATTTTCCAAAAGATTCTCCTCTAGGTGCAGAGCTTGTTCACTCCATTCCTTTTTTAGTTGTTTAGCTTTTGCAATATTTTCTTGGTTTTTTGTTGGGGGAGGTTCCAGTTGTGGGGCCTGAACTCTGGGCCTGGGCACTGTCCCTCAGCTCTTCAGTTCAAGGCTAGCGCTCTACCACTTGAGCCACAGTGCCACTTCCAGCTTTTTTTTTTTTTGCTTATGTGGTGCTGAGGAATGGAACCCAGGGCCTCAGGCATGCAAGGCAAGCACTCTACCACTGAGCCACCTTCCCAGCCCATCTTGTTTTTGTTTCTTATTTTGCTCCTCCTCTCTGGCTTCAATCATCTTGGCCAATTTCCAGGATGGGATGGCACCTGCTAGGAATAGTGTGGTGAGAGCCAAAATAACTGTTGTAAGAAAACCATAAGGGTCCTTTGCAGCCCATTCCACAACATACTCAGCCCAAGCCTTTATGTGAAACATCTTCATAGCCGTCTTAGGAAACAAGTTTGAATAGTAGTCTCTAGTCCTGATATTATCAGTGAGCCAATCACAATTTCCCCTGGTGGTCATCTTCTTTTGTTCTAACATACACTTCTGAGCAGTTTAAATTCACTAGACCAAGTAGGAAGGGCTGCAATGAAAGTCTTCAGTGAATCTGACAACAGACACAATAGAAACTGAGTATAATAAATGTAGAAAGACATTTAGCCAGAAGTCATATTCCAACTGGTATCAGAGACCTGGAGAAATGACAAAATTTCTGTAAATGAAAACATTAGAGAAAGTCTCAACCTGAAGTAACCTTCAGCAAGCCTTAGAAGACTCACATGGGAAAGAAACACAATGCAGAAAAATCTTTGTAGGAAACCTGTGAATTATACAGAAAAATCCTTAATGGCAAAGGTAAGTGAGTTCTAATGGGAAACCATTTTTTACACTCATTAAACCAACATTTCTCATCCTTTCCTTGTGTTGAATAGGGATGATGTAACTGAAGTTTATCCAAAAGATTTGGACACAAATAATGCGCATTAATTACTTACAACTTGTCAAGTAATTAACATAGTAAAGTTGTTGACTTCTGTCTTTTATAATTAGGAATGGTTTTACAACATATTTTATAAATTCTTCTCAGAAATAAGAGGTCCAGCCCTTTGAGACTGGAGTCAGATTATCTCAAGGTGGTTTGGGGAACAGTATCTGGGGAAAGACTGTTGTGATTTAAGCCAAGACCATGAGAGCATCAATTTCTCCATTGCTCCCCTAAAGTTTCCCACTGTATATGTGATCCATATGAAATAACAGAAATGATAAATTATTCCCAGTTCAGCTTTTGATTGGAAGATCTTTGTTACAAAATGCGCACAGGAGCCGGGCGCCGGTGGCTCACCCTGTAATCCTAGCTACTCAGGAAGCTGAGATCTGAGCATCGCTGTTCAAAGCCAGCTGGGGCAGGAAAGTGCCTGAGACTCTTATCTCCAATTAACCACCAGAAAACCGGAAGTGGTGCTGTAGCTCAAGTGGTAGAGCACAAATCTTGAGCTGAAGAGCTGAGGGACAGCACTCAGGCCCAGAGTTCAAGCCCCATGACTGAACTCCCCCCCCCCAAAAAAAAAATGTGCACAGGACTAAAATCTGTCTCATCACCTTTTGTCCCCAAGTTCATGAAACATTCAGAAACATTCAAGTCCTCCATTTTGAACTCAAAGCCTCGGCATTGTCCTGAAGCATTTCTTTTTTTTAGTATTGAACCAATGGTTTATATTTGGCATCGCATTTCTCTTTCCTGAAGCATTTTTGCTCAATGCTAGTGCTACAGCTCCACTTCTGGTTTCTTTGGTGGGCAAATAAATACAAGAGTCTTAAGCATTTGGTTTAGGATGAGTAACCCCAAAATGACTGCAGTGCTTACTTTATATTGAATTAACCTCTGGTGATTCATTCTTATCCCATTCTGTTGTTCTGCTGAGTGAGTTATAATAAAACACCAGTGTGGATTAAGTGAAGAGCCTGTCTTTCTTCAGCTTCCTGAGGATAGTTGCCCCAAAACATAAGACATGGTTTTGTTAAACATAATGTGTGGTTAATATAAAAATTTAGAAATGTGGAAAAAATGAGGACTAAAGCTAGTTAGAAGATGGTTACAGAAATCCAAGGGATGAGAGAGACAAGTAGATAGAGGTAGAACTATGATAGAAATTTAGTGTAAAATTCAGATAAAAAGGGATCCTTGTCACTTTCTACCGCATAGGTAGGTATACATATAGTATTTTTATCTACAACATTATGTTCCATGTTTTCATTGTGCAGTGACTTCATATCCAACACCTGGAACACATATATTTCTTTGTGATGAGAAGAAGGCTGTCAGTTGCAATCTCTTGAAAGGCCAGACAGAGAAAGACATTGAACGATCTCACACAAAAATGGAAGCTAACAGAAATAGAACCAATTTGTGACAGAAGTTGAGAGTAGAATAGTTGTTACAAGAGACATGGAGAGATTGGTCTATGCCTTCAGAATTCTCTTTAGGATTTTGGTTGACTTCATCCTTTGGTCAAATTGACCCGAGAGGGAATGTGCTCTTGAAGATTGTGCTTAAACATTACAGAGTGGTTAGGTGGACAAACGCCTTCATAGAGAAGGAGGTCACGT